TCGGGTCCTTGCACTTGCACAGTAGGAGGTGAAACCACTGAGCTAAATCCCCCGCCCTTGGTCACTATAAAGTGGTTGACAGAGTATGTCTAGGTTCAGTTCCCTTTAGTTTTTCCATATTTAAAATGATAAAATTTTGATTATGTGTCAACTATATGAATATTTTTGACATAACCTAACAGATCTATACTTAATATTGTCATTTAATGTTTTTTAAAAATTATATGAAGAACACCTTTTTAGGCAGCCAAGGAGAGTGTTGTGCATCAAAAGAATAGTTGATATACCAACAGAGCTATTTTACTATATTTAATAGCTCTTAGCTCACACGTGTGATGGCTTCATGCAGTGATTTTATGCAATACTGAATAAAATCTTCTGAAGATTAAGCTGTGAAATGTATCCTTCTTCATCTAGTTTTTGTAGTACAAGATACCATCTTCCTACTTTTCTTAACTTTGTATTCATAATTATTTTTCTGCATGATACCTGATCCAATAAGCCTTCACCAAATATGTGCAATAGACACAAACTTTTAAATAGTACACTGTACTGTGTGTCAGGAGGCTGAGGCAGAAGGATCGCCACAAGTGCAAAGCCAGCCTGGGCTACCTAGTAAGTTCAGGGCCAGCCTGAACTACAAAGCGAGACCCTGTCTCAAAAAATCAAAAAAAAAAGCACACAGTGTGTTAAGACTATTTCTATATTTAATGTCATTCCTGATTTAGCTTTACTTTTTTTTTTTTTGGTACCGGGGATTGAACTTGTTACCGTATGCTTGCATAGCAGGTGCCGGAACCACTGAGCTAAATCCCTGGCCCTAGCTTTACTTGTTTGTAGTGTTTTTAGAAAATAGCTATGTAACTTATTGAGCATTATTTTGGTGTTACTGTATAAACATCATGATAAATATTAAATTCTTATTTATCTTATATTGCAAAAAAAAAGCTTCTTGGGCCAGGGATTTAGCTCAGTGGTGCCACTGCCTGCCTCACAAGCACAAGGTCCTGAGTTCGATCCCCAGTACCAAAAAAAAAACAAAAAAGCCTCTTCACATCAAAAGAAACAGCCAACAGAGTGAAAAAATAACTTACAGAATGGGAAAATAATTTTTCCAGGCAGCTATTCCTTGGACAAAGGATTAATATCTATAATATAATT